TGTACTAAGATGTCCTTTAGAAAGAGGATTAAGTTATAAACAGTAAGTGCAGACTTAATGTTGAAAAAAAGTAATTTTGGAAAAAATTGATATCAATTGAAAAATCCTTTACACGAATAATACACTATGCAGAATACGATATAATACTAGATGAATGTGCTTTCTTTTTCAATATTCGATAGAAAAATCATTTATGTCTTGCTTTTTAAATTACTATTTCTGACAAATAATATATTATATACAATTGTTATTGAAATAAAAATTATCGAAGAAGTTAATGTAGGTATAAGAATACTTACAAAGTTAATAGAGTACGCAACTACTACCACCCACCCCCATCCTCCATCAGGTGGTTCATATATTTTTTGAGTCATTTAACGTGTACTATTAAAACATGCACATGTATTACAACGTAAGTGAAATGAAAATGTGCTTAAGAACGTGTGAAAAATATGTATAATAGTGTATCATCTTACAAAAGAACGATAACACTTTAAGTGGTTTTTGTTTGATAATTTTTTTATATTAAATTTTTCAAGGTAATGTAATAAAGAATACATTTTCGAAAGTGTATAACACCTGCTACTATTAAATTAAATTTAATTGACTAAAATGATTACAACATGTATAACGCAATTCACGATCGGAGCAGTTTGATAATAATGTGTTATCACATGCTGATATTGACGAAATTTTGAATAAAATTCTGTTTATTATGATGGATTTTAAACTTTACTGATTACTACTTGACTACGTTATTTAAATTCCTATTACGAGGTGTTTTTTCAGAGATCCCTAGACAAATGACGAAAGTAGTCTTAGATTGATGTAAATATTTTTTGTGTAGAGATCGTCCCGACAGGAGTCTCTTGCATACCGCCTTTAATTTGCGACTTCATCCGTATGAAACTATTTCTATTTGTTTATAACGAATGCAATTTATAACCAAACAATTGAAAAAAAGGTACCCCGACAACCTTAATCACTTTTTTCATACACATATCATATCGAAATCGATTCAACAATTTAGTCTTATTCAGCAAATTATATTTTATTACAACTAAAGTCTAATTATTAAATATTAGATAATTAAAAATAAACACATTAAAATAAATACCAAATAGAATATTTTACATCTTTTTATTTATAATTATACTAATAGGTAACAGCAAAGTAAATTAATTGAAATAATAAAGGAAAGCGGGGTGGAAAAAAGTTTTTGTCAATTTTTATCTGAAATTGGTTTACAAAGATTTAATTTAAAATTATTATCACTCAGCTTTTGTAGTTATCATTAACATGGGATATGGACAACATTTTTAAGTTTGTAGCTGGACCATTGTATGAAAAATTACTCATACCATGTTGGTTTCTTTCTTAAATTTTTAATTTTTTACCTTAACCCCCTGCGGTTCCAGCCCAACGCCCATCACCAATTAATTCCAACGGAGATGTAGGTAGATACTCTACTGACTCCTTTATTACTCCAAGTAACCCTCACCCCCTTAAGAGGTGGATCAAAACTGGAAGTATTTAATAACCTGGGACTATTATTTTTTTTTCGGTGCAAACATCACATTTTCTTTTTTTAAAGGCTTCTAATTGTTTTTCATTTTTAGATTTAAATGTTTTGGTATTAAAAATCAGTTTCAGGTCATCTGATGAGAACTTTCTTGAAGGTTAAGTAGTTTTTCCACTGTATCATCGGGCATCCGAAAGGATTACTGCCGGACCAAGTGCGTTATCGTAATCTTTCCCGTGACAATCGGACTGAAAAGGAAAAGTTGGAAAAGCAGCTCTAACCGAGGAACCACTTTAGGAGAAACTGTAATACTATGCCCATCAAGGCCAAAAAAAGTTGTCCAATAACTCTGTATCAATCGATTTTTTGAATATGTATTGCTCAATTAAAAATGTACTGATTTTAATTAAATTCATATAAGTATTACGAAAACCTGAACTACGTTGTTAATTAAAATTATCAATTACATAAATAAAGGATTACTAATAGTAATGCATATTTTGTTATATTAAACCATCTCATTAGAAATTTTGGTTATGCACCCATGGTCAGGTCGAGCCTGATCCTGTAAATTCCAATAGGATACCAAAAAGAAGTAATAAATATACTACCTTGTCATACTGTACTTTGCTTTCATGTGTATGTTTATATTACGTAAAAGAAAACACTACATATAAAAGAAAACGCTACAGAATACAACAAATTAACAAATCAAAGTATATTTCCATCAACTTATGATAATCTGACATCTACATTACCGAATTAGCAATTTTCTTCTGATTTTCTAATCGCATCTCTTGATATTTACCTCAAAAGGAAAAATCCACCGTAAAATTCTTTCAGCGTTCTAAGGATAGCCAACTTTTCTGGTATTTCTCACTTTAACAATTATCATTTCCGTAAGCCACATTACAACTGTTAGAAGTGTCATTAAGTTCATCAAGACAACACATTTTCTGTAAGTGCCCGTTACATCCTTTATAAAACCTGTGAAATAGAATATATAACTATATAATAAGATCCGATTAAGTTCCTGATCATTAATTTATGAAAACCACAAGAAGTAGGTGGTTATTTCGATCTTATTAGATCTCATCAGCAACTCTATACTGAGTCTCGATAATTCGCCTCACGTAAGCATGTTAATATCTACTGATATTTGCTGCTAACTGAAGTATTATTAATCAGATCTGTGATAATAAAGTCGAAACCGGAATTGAGGTCTGATAATTTCAACAAACTACCCACCATAAAGTTAATTGGCTCTTATTAATTTGTCTGACATTTAAAATGCTTAGCAGTATATATCAGTAGATGTCAATATATGTAATGCTGTAACTCGGCTCTAAAGTTTTACCTTGACCAGAAATTAATTTCCTCCCACTTTATTGATACCTATCTTGATAACGTAGTTTATGTCGTTAAAATGTAATAAACAGATAACATTTTACGCTTTCTATTACAAAAGTGCTTGTTTGATAACTGAGTATCACACGAAAGTCATAGTAACCCAAATTGGTTTTCATCTTTCCAAAATTGTATTAGAATTTCATATTATTACCTAAAAATGGACCTCCTGTTATGAACAATATTCCATTGGTTACCATTTGGATTCCTGATGCTCCAGGCAGTTTATCCAAAGGGACGTACGCTGGAATCACCAGATTCATGTAAATAATTCGTAACCCCTTTGCTATTCCGAGACCAACAGCAGTAATTAACAATAATGTGTATCCTCGGACACTTATAAATACTGAAAAACATCGAAATGTATTAGTTGGACATCCTGAATAATTATTCTAAACTAACATGTAATTCAATTAATTATTTACTTACAAAATCTAGTCAATGCTAAAAGCACCAAACTGACCATGTACATTATCCTTGGTGGTTTTTTGAAACAATCAGCAATGTAAGGTGACAGAAATCTAAATATCAGATCTGCAATAGCCAATACGGACATAAATGTAGCAGCTCGTTCATTATTCAAACCAAATTCTGACAACATCAAAGCAGTAAACATGGAAAAATTAAGTTCCGAAAATATCGCGATCGACATTCCCAACATTATATTAACATATATAGGATCACATAATAACGTTAAATCAAATATATCGGAGACAAATTTGAAGCATGCTATTAAAGCACTTTCTTTTTTTTCTGATTTCACGTCTTCTAAATTGTTTGTATTGGTGTCTTCTCCGAACAATTGTAGATTCTCATTACTTTGTTCTTCATCATTTTCCTCATGTACAGATTCCAGCGATATATAAGAGTCGTATATACTTTGTTTTCGAGCAAGAGGTGATTCTGAGAATATGAATTAAAAATTAAAGAAAAGATTTGTTTATAGATTGAAATGTTTGTTGTATACCTGCGGATAACGAGACTCTGCTTAAGTTTAAATTTTGTGACTCAAATCCATATATTGATGAAGAATCGATATCATGATCAATAGAAAGGCTAGATTTTGTCATTGATAGTTTTCTTGGAAGTCGATCACTTTGACTTACTGAAAAATTAAATTACTGTATAGTTAACAAAAAAGATTCTTTATTTATTATTCGTCATAACACCTTTCCTTCCAATCTGTATCATTGGTTTTTCTTGAACATCTTCTAAAACTTCGACAACTTTCAAATGTCTCTTAATAGGTTGAAGAAGGGCAGCTCCTATAAAGGCATGAGATGCTAGAGCTCCCAGGATTGCCGCAGCTCCTCTTTCACCATAATGATTTAATAAATAAGTGACTAACTGTGGCATAAATATTGGACCTAGAGCCGAAACGGACAAAGCAATTCCCACTGCATTGGTTCTTCTTTTTAGAAAATACGTATTTAATGCCAATGTATAAGCTGAAATTCCCATTCCACATCCTAACGCTGCAAAAGGATATTACACACTTTAAGTAAAGCAATCGGATATTACAACGAATAATTATAAGTGTTATTATAGACATATCCGTAACACTTACAATAAAGCATTCCGTAAGTGAAAAGAAAGGCAATGAAGCTATTTGAAAATCCTGTAAATATGATTCCGGTTGTTGTACAAAAAGTAGATATAATCGCAACTTTTCTGTAACCCATTTTTTTTAATAAAACTCCATTCACCAAACCCATAAGCATTCCAAAGGCCTGATTTGTGTTGATTATGATTGAGATGTCGGTTGCTGAGAGACCAATGAATTCTAATTTTTTTCGGTAAAGTAATCCAAACAATTGCATCAGTGGAAGAGTTGTAGTCTAAGATATGCATTCAGTAAGAAAATGATTAATCTCCGCGTCTTATTAGTTTAAAATTTATTAGAATTTAGTTTATTGTTCGGAAAATTATAAGAAGTTCCTAATACAGTACAAGTCAGCTATTGAGATTTATCCGACTGGGTAGGCAGAAACGTTTGTGGAAGAAAACAGGTTACGAATACATTATTATAATGACTTGATTAAACTAACGATAATTAAAAAATTAGGAATATTTCGTGATCATGTAGATATTTTTGTTGTAGGCTAAATATTTAGCACATCAATACCAATCCTGACAACTGTACAAGGTGTAGCGCATCGACGACAGGGAATGACTTTAACAAAATATTGCGCGCTTTAAATCCACAAATAGATAGTAAGTTACAATAAAGTATTAAGTTACCTAATCAGAATGTTTTGATTTATAAAGATATTAATTACGAGAGGCCAAACAGAATTATAAGATAATAAAAGAACACAGTTTTAATAAATAAATGAAGAACCAAAAAGATATAATTCTTCAACTAATTTGTTTTTATTAGGTACTTATAATGATAATGTTTAATTAAATTAAAACATAATACACATTACTTTTTGTGCTATATATAGCACACCTATCTTTCAATATTCCACATAAAAACCAACAGTATGCCAATATTATTTATTATTATGTTAATTACTAAGTAAATGTTATAATTCTTCTGTTAAAAACTTCTACTCATTATTTACATTTAATAATATGTGATATTTCATTTTCAATATACATATTTACTAATGATATCATGATAATTACCCAATTTTTAAATAAACACATTACAAAACTTATGGTGTAAAAATGATTTGGTTATAGCTTGTTCTTTAAATTAAAATTTCCAGCAAAAACATCTTATTTACAATTTTTTTTAATCTCATAATCACTAAAGAAGTTATGTACTTACAAAGTTAATAGAATACGCGATAACTACCATCCAACCCCATCCTCCATCAGGTGGTTCATACTTTTTTTGGGTCATTGTAACATGTACGGTCTAAATACGTACCGTAACTACAACGTAAGAGAAATAACAACGTGTTTTGAAATGTGGGAAATATGTATAATAGTATATCAGATCACAAAAAAATTATAGATAATGCTGTATCACCTTGATAGCATTTGAAGTGATCCGTTTAATAAATTATTTTTTATTAAAAGTGGTTTAATAATAAAATAGTTTTTGGGAATGGATATTATTCATTTTTAAATTAATTTCGTTCAAGTTGACATTAAAATGATTAATATTGATTTAGACGAAAATTTAGAGTAAGTTTGTAGTAGTGTATAATTTTTGAAGTGAAACTTCTANTTAACGGAAGCTTTAGTAGCTTAATAAATAGAAACTACAAAAACTGCATGTATTACAAGTAAATAGTTGCCAAAATAAACAAAAGTAGCCAAGTAGAACTAGCTATCCTTTTATTGAAGTGAAACTTCTATATAGACGAAGGGTATTACGATTTTTTCTGTCACGAAAAAGGGTTCCGGCCGCGTAGAGGGGGTAGACGGTATATCGCGTGGGGTGAGAGGGCAACGGGTGTATTACACGGATATAATGCGCAGCCGCGCGGAGAGCGGGGAGTCCGCTAGAGTCTCGGCGGCGTGTGCTGTGCTCAGCTGTTGTTTTCTTACCTCTGCTCTGCACGTGGCTGGGCATCATTGCCTCTATTTGCGGTCTGTGTAGAACCCAAATCATAATTTGCAGTAAACCTGTGAAAACGAAATGTGTGCTGGGACAGGGCTTCATTCCCCCTATTTTGCATAAAGACCAATTTTTACTTCAAGTTTTACGGGCAGGTTTTCAAATTGGACAAGTACATTAACAATCTGCCCGTAAAACTTGAAATAAAAGTTTTGTTGCGATTTGTTTTACCACTTGTCCGTTGAAGTTTCACTTCTACTATGAGTCCCAGCACACATTTCCGTTTTTATAGGTAGGGTTATTCTTCAGTTTTGGCCGTCAAACACCAATATTTGATGCAATTTTTTTATTTTATATATGTAATAAAATAAGCTTAACCGTTTAGTAAGCGCAGTAATCACAAGTTGTATTATAAATGCAAATGTGAATTTGTTTATTGTTTTAACGCCTTAACTGCTCAATCGGTTACATGATCACCGACACATTGCCAGGGGTACAGAAAATGACATAGGATACTTTTCATCCAGAAAAAATGCTGTTCCCGAGGGATAAAAAAATTAGTTCAATGTGGTTGATTTCACGCCTTAACTGCTCGATCGGTCATCGTGAAATTTTGAGGACACATTGTCAGGAGTAAAGTGGAGGACATAGGGTACCTTTTATCCAGAAATAATATTGTTCCCAAGGGATAGGAAAGAATTAGTTTTGTGTGGTCGATTTCACGCCTTATCTACTTGATCGATCATCATGAAAATTTTCAGACACATTGTCAGGAGCACAGAAAAAGACATAGGGTAACTTTTATTGTGAGACATAAAAAGTAGTTTTATGATTTTTAATACGTATTGTAGCGACTACGAGCGTGATTGTGTGCGATCGGGCATACGCGTGTGAGCGGTTTATCGATTCGCCAACTAGCCGTGGGCGCTTTTCTTCATGTGCGCCGTATGTGTAAACGTGTGTGTCGTACCTGCGTTCCGGGAAAGCAATTAAACCGTTCAAAGAAAACGAGACTTCTATGGACGGCTGGAGAATGTTCCCGGAAGGAGGCAAGGGAGCATAAGGAAGAGACGATCGCCGGAGTAGAGGAGAAATAAATAGACCGTTGCAGAAGTGAATCAAGAGATAAATTGACAGTGATAGAAGTGAAATAAATAGAACAGTGAATAGTAACAGTAGTGTAAATAAATAGAATATTTACCGAAGTTTAGTAATAATTTAATAGTGTTTTTAAGTTTAATAGTAATTAGTGTAAATAAATAGTTTTTGTCGTGAGTCTTAAAATTTAATTTGTTAAACCCACGAACATTATAGTATGTAGAACATCAACGTGAGCAAGAAACAACATAAANTAAAGGAAGAGACGATCGCCGAGAAAGAGTAGAAATAAATTGACCATTGCAGAAATGAATCAAGAGATAAATTGACAGCGATAGAAGTGAAATAAATAGAACAGTGAATAGTAACAGTAGTGTAAATAAATAGAATAATTACCGAAGTTTAGTAATAATTTAATAGTGTTTTTACGTTTAATAGTAATTAGTGTAAATAAATAGTTTTTGTCGTTGTGAGTCTTAAAATTTAATTTGTTAAACCCACGAACATTACAGTATGTAGAACATCAACGTGAGCAAGAAACAACAGAAACTATTGTATCCTTATACGGATTACTTATACATATTCTTATCATAATGAATATGATAGTCGAGTTTTTATTTCTACTGTGATCATTTTATTAATGGTTTAAACAAGAGACCAACGTTTTTGTCATATTTTATTTATCAATGAATTTTACATATGACAGATATGTGAAAAACAACTCAAATAGATAACAATTTTATCATTTTAACCAAACCCTAATAGTAAACTAAGTATTTTGGTATAAGAAACAATAAACACGTATGGAATAGAATGTGAAACCTAACGATGAGCAGAATTTCAACACAAATTACTATTAAATACGTACACATACGTTTTTAATTGCTAATACCACAATAATTACTTATTACCCACCATCGAGAATATTCTTAAACTAATAATAATTTTTTAATTTAAACGAAAATATCTTTAAAAGGTTTATTAACAAAATTGTATTGTAATAATGAATTAAAAATACATTATAGAAATTATATTTATTTTATTATCTCAATTATCACAGATGTTGCAGAAGCGCGTATCTATTATTGTACATATAATTTCTGTGTCTTATTTGCATCAAATTCTGTTTTCCTATTTCGAAACAAATGAACAACTTTATGTTTGATCCACTGTCTTCTTTTTGTTTTTAACAATCATCATTTCTATGGCCCACATAAAAACACCGAGAAGCATTAGACAGTTCATCAAAATAACACATCCTCTGTACGAACCAGTAACGTCCTTTACAAATCCTGTAAATCATTTAGTTTACTGTAAGAAAAGTATTACTGTTTTGATAACTAACAGATACCTAAAATGGGACCGCCAACTAGAAACATTATTCCATTTAAAAACAGTTGAATTCCTGATGCGCCAGGTAATTTTTCGAGAGGAACATACGATGGAATTACAAGATTCATGTAGATTGTTCTTAATCCTCTAAATATTCCCATACAAACAGCAGATACAAGCAAAAGTGTAAATCCCTGCACCCATACGAATACTAAAGTTTAAGAAAAATCGTTAAATTTAACACTTAACAATTGCGTTAAAGAGGTACCTACAAAATCTGCTTATGGATAAGAAGATTAGACAAATCATATACAATATTCTAGGAGAATCGCTTAAACAGCATCCAACGTAGGGCGCAGCGAATCTAAAAATCAGCTCTGCAGATGACTGAACAGACATAAACGTGGCTATCTGATTTTTCTCTAGTCCGAAGTCAGTTAACATCAAAGCAGTTAATATGGCAAAATTTAAATCCACAAACATTGCCAACGAAATTCCTATTATGATGTTAATAAAAATCGGATCAACGATTAATGATAATTCGAATAGCTTGGAAGCGCTTTTAAAAAATTCGAAAATTTTCTTTCGGTTTATTAGGTGGTTTTCCTTCGCATTCAAATCATCTTCAATTCCCAATTTAATTATATTATTATCAACTGAGACAGGTTTATCCGGGGTGTCTTCAGAAAAAGATATTAATGAAGTGTACATTTTGTTCGAAAATCTTCTTTTCGTTGGTCTTCTTTCTACGAGGGAGAGCACAGCAAATTTAGTGCAATTGTTTATGGAAACAGCAGTCTCAATACTCATAGCAGCAATAGTGTATAATTTGTGATCTGATAGTTGGTGTTGGTACTTCAGTCAAATTCTTATTTCACACGTCCAAACACAGACTGTGTGAACATTTCAGTCTAGCCTGAAGAGGTTGGCGTTAAAACCGACGAAACGTTGCAAATAAGAATTTGACTGAAGTACCAACACCAATTATCAGCTCTCAACTGATCGTGTGCTTATGCACTAAAGCAACATTATGTACTATATTTTATAGCTTATTTTGAACCCTAGTACCAATCCTTATTTTGTTATGCTTATTTAAAGCTTAATTTCTAGCAGTCAGTCCTTTTTATGCTTACCGGTATATAAAGATAAAGTACTTCTGTTTATAATATCCAAATCATCTGTACTACCGAAATCATAAAACGATGGTTTTATATCTGTGACATCAGATGACTTTGTTATAATTTCCTTGTGGTATGCTGCAAATAAATTCCAAAGTAAATGTAAAAAATTCACCCATTATAATTATATACACATGTAAAAGAGAAGGTGAAAAGATTATTTAATGGGTTTCTTTTTTATGTATAAAAAGGAATCTAATTTTGTTGGTTGTTGTATAATGATTTTTATATTTCAAGACCAGCAATAGTTTACTGGCAAAATTAGAGTCTTGAAATGTAAAAAGGGTTTCCTTTTTGTTAATGGTATAATTTTACCGTTTACAGTATCATCTTCTGGGTCCATTTTTTCATGTTTTTCAATTGGCTGTAAAAGTAACGCTGCCACGAATGTATGACTAAGAATTGCTGCCAGAATCAATGCAGTCCCTTTTAAACCATAACTGTATAATAAGTAGGGTACAAGTTGTGGAAGTAATATTGGCCCTAACGAGGAAATGGTAAATGATAAGGCCAAAGCTTTACTACGTTGCTTTAAAAAGAAAGTATTAAGTGCCACAAAATAGGCCGATTTAGCCATTCCAGTTCCAGTAGCTACAAAATTTAAAAATCATTATTATGTAGTACCTTAACGAAAATTAATTCTAAAAATAATTACGTACAATAAATTAATCCATAAGTAATAAGGAACGTTGTGAAGCTGTTTGCAAAGGCAGTTGTGAAAAATCCTATAAATATAAAGAAAGCAGATGCGAAAGCAACTTTCCTATAGCCTAGCTTTTTAAGTAAGGCTCCGTTAATAAAACCCAGAAGTAGGCCAAACGCCTGACTTGTGTTGGTGATGACGGATATATTAATGGCAGATAAACCAATGTCGTGTAATTTATCACCAAAAACAAATCCAAATATTTGCATCATGGGTATTGTCAAGAGCTAAAACAAACACTTATTTATAGAAACCGTTTTGATTAAACATTATATTATTATAATTATACATCGCGCTCGAGGAAATGCAAATGTAAAGCAAAAACAGAAAAATGAGGGCTACCTCATACACCCTGTTTATAATGAGGCATGGGCAGAGAATTGATGCTGTGTGCGCCTGAAAATGTTTTCAATCTACCCTTGGTCTTAGAAGCACTGTAATTCAAACCCTTTCATGAACAAGTGGTAAACGAATTACTTTATAAAAGTACTTTCAAACTCATTCAAAGTGTTTGAATTACTCTCGAAGTGCTTAAGAATTTTAATCTAATTGCTAATTAAAGTCTTTGGATTTAAAAAGTAATTGGTGGTTCAAGAACCAATGAATATTAAGAGAGGGCTTTGGATTCTTTTGGTGAATGCTTTGTCCAACTTTTAATATAATCTGTCTCAGGTTTTAATGTTCTCGGAATCATGATTTATACAGATAATATTAACTAATGCTGTAAAGAGAAAGAAAAGTTCATGCAACTTTTACCTACTTCTAAATAAACTTTTTAGGCATAGTTAATCTAAAGAAAAAAAATCCTCTCAAAGCAAATAGGAAAAAACCTATTTTTCTAACTATTAAAAGACACTACATATTTATGGATCTCTGTTTCGAATACTTATATCTTGTAGTTATCATTTGTAGTTGCATGACTATTTTAATGAAAACCACTACTTATTAGTTATGAAATTTTAAGATTTTCTTACAAAAACTTTTTTATTTATATTTAATACTAAAATGTCTGCATTTTCTGCAACATTGCTTCTTTTATTTTTCATATTTTAAAAATCTATAAAAGGCCGTATATTTAATTACTCGTTAAGTTGTAGACGACTTGGAAAATCAAATTAATTGCAAAGAGAGTTCGTAATTTTGTAATGCATCACACAAATTGGAAAGTTACCTAGAACTTTCTACTTAGCCTGATACCTTGTTGTAGAGTTAATATTGGAAATAATCTATAGGTTCGTAACCTCTGCGAATTCGACAGATACCCATGAGAAATGGTTGAAAAAACCCTACAAAGCGAGAACGTCAACTCTTATTAAGCATAGCCAATCCCAGGGGTCGGCAAACCGCGGTTTGCAAGCTATATGTGGCTCATTCAAGAGACAATTGCGGCTCCTCAAGTTCCCTTAAAAAAATTAAAAGCTAAAGCGGAACGGACTGACACGCAGCGCATGCGCATACTTAAAAGAAGAGACTTGCACTTTCTGATTGACGTTACAATGCATCTCAACGTACTAAATCCAAACCTCAAGGAAAAGGAAACACTGCATTTTCATTACTGGAAGAAGTAGTTGATTTTGAAAAGAAATTACTTTCCTTTGGGGGAAGATATGGAGACGTCCATCTGTCTACTTTGACTTTCTTTGCGAAACCTCTCAGAACAAACAGCAAATAACTAACTGTTACTCCGTTTAATATCAATGGTGGTTCATTTAAAATCCAATTACTAGATTTAAAAAGCAAACATTTATAGAGTTTGAAATTTACGAGTCTAAGTAGTAATCTAGAAGAGCTAGGAAGGCAGAAATGTCTTTTGATATCGCAACATAAGTGGACAGCTCTAAATGGGATACCTAAGGCTTAGGCACTAATTTTCCAAACTGGATGGAATAGCTTTACGGAATGCTATGACCAAATAAGAAAACGGCTTTTGGTGTGCTGACGAACCTTTGGGTTAATATATTCGCACGAACAAGTTTTCTCTTCTATGAATTTAAAAAAGAACAAGGTAAGAAGCCAAATAACTAATCAAAATTTAGAGTCGTCTTAAACTAAAAAATATTAGTTATGTGCCGCACTTACCAAAACTTTCTAGAGAAATGCAAGGTCACTGTTATAACATATAATTTCAGCAGGCCCCTCTTTTCTATTGGGGCCCAACGATCAACGGCAAGTTCCTGCCAGATTCATCCGCCAACCGAAAGCCGATAATTATTTTAAGAAAATTAATCAGTAATTGCTGATTAGAATATTTACTTTCATAATCGCTTTTGCATACTATAAACGCGAGCATACCTAAATGTAGGTGATTCTTCAAATATTTATATATTCTCAAATTTTATTACTTCGAATCGCTCTCCAAAGAGAAAAATTCAAAATCTGAGTGCAAGGACTTGCCTCAAAGAATAAGACTTAGAGGTTCGCGCCAGACATTTTTTGATGACTGCACCGATAGTCCAACTGAGTTGGGAAGAGATATTAAAGTAGAAATAACTTACTTCCCAAAGTGATACCCCAAGCGTGCATCTAAAACAGCAATTGAGTTTGCACAAGGACATTGGTTATTGTTGACAGTGTTTTTCGCTTGAAAACTCCAAATCCCGAGACAAAGTTGCAAAGATTTTGCTGCTAGGAAGATGTTACCGAGAAAGAGTTAGAAATAGAATGTCTATATTTAGCAAACTAACAGTATTCCAGAAGTTTTGATAAGAAAAACCGAGTTGGAGACACATTTCCAAATGTAGAAATTGCATTGAGAATCTTTTTAAACATGATCGTAACTAACTGTAGTGGCGAACTCTCCTTCTTTAAACGGAAAAGAATAAAAAATAAGTTAAGACGAACAGTGCTTCAAGAAAAATTGATCGGTCCATAGAATGGGATATGCTCAAAGACAAAGAGTTTGAACAACTGGCTGACGATTTTGCATATATGAAAACTAGAAGGGTGCCTTTTCAAAAAACACAATTTTGCACCAACCTGAGAACGATAGAGATACTTTTCCGAGTCATATTACAATTATTTATTCATTTATTGTGAATGTAAAGAAACAAATAATTGTTGATAAACCAAAATAGTTCTCTCTCAAAGCTGTAGGGGCCCCGTTAAGCTTATGTGCCCAGAGCCTCCAATAACTTAAAGACGGCCTGAATTTCAGTGTTGTTTAGCATAATAATAAGTACAATAAATAATAATGAATAAAGTCGTACGACTTCTTTATCAAATTTGAAAGAAAATGTAAAATGCTAATTAAAAGAAATCGTGACTGAATTTCATAAAACAATATTTTTATTGCGAAAGACTTCCAGCTTAAACGTTTGCCAACCCCTGCTTAGTCTACCCGAGTTATCTTAATATAACACAAACCAACATAGCCCAGATTAAACAGAGTAGGTTTGGTTATGATAGATAAAAGTTACCCCTCTACCCCGGGGGTGCCCCACTGCCTTTCATCATTCAAACAATTTCCCGTTTATTAATTAGCCTAAAGATACATCGGCTCATTACAACAATCCTAAAAATATCAGGTTGATAAGAAACTGTTAGGTAACGTTCCAATTTGCCTAGCCCATTGAAAAATAACGGCTTTCTTTGCAATAAATCGAATTTTCCAATTTACTTATGACATTAATAAAGCGAAATATAAACATAAATCTTACGTTATTTATTGACATTGCCAAAACAATGACCCATCCCCAACCGCCGTCTGGAGGCATATTCTATTTCAAAAAAAAAGTGTCGTTCGGTATCATCACTAGTCGAAAGCACTCCAACTAACCATCTGATCGTACAACTTTTTGTTCTATTGTTAATAATAAATCTGCGTCGATCCTATGAGAGTATTTCGTGATGATATAACTGATACGTGCGACAATCATTATGTCTTATCAATATGAACTTGTATTTAGAGCAATTAATGCTAAAAGGTTTGCAAAAAACTGTGTAGCAACGATATTACGTACTATATGTGGAATATGTTGAAATAAGTACTTATAATATGTATATTATACCTATATCTCATTAGTTAATATACGTCACATATATATGCACATATATGTATCAAGTTGTCGATCCACATTACAGTAAATTATCAATAAGTTACTAATTATTTATTATCAGTATTGGATACGCTATTGTGTCAATTTAATTAAAAGTTACAATCAGTTAAAATTCCACTCGTATCNGATAAGAAACTGTTAGGTAACGTTCCAATTTGCCTAGCCCATTGAAAAATAACGGCTTTCTTTGCAATAAATCGAATTTTCCAATTTACTTATGACATTAATAAAGCGAAATATAAACATAAATCTTACGTTATTTATTGACATTGCCAAAACAATGACCCATCCCCAACCGCCGTCTGGAGGCATATTCTATTTCAAAAAAAAAGTGTCGTTCGGTATCATCACTAGTCGAAAGCACTCCAACTAACCATCTGATCGTACAACTTTTTGTTCTATTGTTAATAATAAATCTGCGTCGATCCTATGAGAGTATTTCGTGATGATATAACTGATACGTGCGACAATCATTATGTCTTATCAATATGAACTTGTATTTAGAGCAATTAATGCTAAAAGGTTTGCAAAAAACTGTGTAGCAACGATATTACGTACTATATGTGGAATATGTTGAAATAAGTACTTATAATATGTATATTATACCTATATGTCATTAGTTAATATACGTCACATATATATGCACATATATGTATCAAGTTGTCGATCCACATTACAGTAAATTATCAATAAGTTACTAATTATTTATTATCAGTATTGGATACGCTATTGTGTCAATTTAATTAAAAGTTACAATCAGTTAAAATTCCACTCGTATCAGGATTTTTCCACTTTGCATTGAGTACGTAGGTATGTACTAGTGCTGGATTTGTTAACAGGCCGAAGGAATCGAGGACTAGGGGTGGCAGGGGTCTGGAAGAGGTAGATTTTAGTTAAAGATAAAGCTTAGTTTTTCGTAAAAGATTGTTTGGTTTAAGAATGTATGAATTATTATTGTCACATTTTCACTAAAAATACTGCAGAGAAATCCGCATCAGCATTACTACCAATACTCAGTCTCTACTATACTACTATATTTTTGAGGGATCAATTTTTGTGCTACTTGCTTGAAGCTCTTTATATCGCGCTTTTCACTTTGGTCACAAATGATTTTGAAGAAAGCTTTCCTTGTTTAAAAGAAGTGAAAAATTATCATATAAGTTATTATATCATGAAAAATTTAACTCCTTGGTTCTTCTACCGATAGAGGCAGAGATAAGAACACCATAAACTATGAGGATATAAATTATTTCGCCAATAAAAAGCTACGTAAAAAGTGTAGTTCTTGTCTCATTTTACACTCTTACCTTATGACTATGTCATTATTTTATTTCACTTTTCAATACCCAATACCTAGCATACCCATTTAAATACGTAAAAATTTGTAGGTAAATAGATGAAATAGACTGAGTGGTTATGTTAGATAGGAAGAAGGTAGGGTGGCACAAATGAAGTGACTTTTGCAAAAGAAAGATAAAAATCCAGAACTGCTATGTATCTAATTTTCTCGAATTCGGACAGAACGAATGACTAAGATGGTAAAATGTATACATATGTATATATTCTTCTCTATAATTACACGTTCAGAATTTTTCTGGATTTGAACATATAAAAATGAACGGTTTCCAACAACAACGGTACATATTTAATAATTCATTGTAAATAAAGTTTGTTCCCAGTATTGTTTATATCGGAATTTTAATCACTTCGGAAATAAACCATTTTGAGAAAATTGTACTCATGAAGTCACGGCAATCTTTTATGACATTAATTGTTTTGTGATTTGTTGGGTTTAAGTAATTTTATCAATAATAATTCGAATAAATATGACAGAAGGTGTTTTCGGCTATAGACCCATGCCGCCTAGGATAATCTATCCGTTTTCTTTGCACATTACAGGATAATTAACAAATCCTAATTATTTTAAAAACCGTCAACCGTAGACTGTAATACGCCTTAATAAAATCGCTTCCCATTTGAAAAAAATTAGTATTGATGTTTAAAATATTTATAATCTGAACATTACTAGTGTAATAATTTAATGGGATTTGAAAGAATGTTTTAGATGGAAAGCCAAGTGCGTTTCATGCTCTTTTCAACAGCGACAGCCGCATCTTTTTATCGAGGATAGTTGCCAAGATATTAAAATTTTTGTAAGGTATTACAAACGTCAAATTTTCTAGAAATTACTAAAAACTTCTTCAAACACACAAACATACCGGGATATGGTTTAAGAAATTGGTTTAATGGTATTATTTGTACACTCTGAATTTAAATTTTACACTCTACGAACTCGACTACGTGGCCGAGTAGAGGGAGGACATCCGTTGCATGATTTCGTTACATAGTAACTCGCATGAAACAAACTTACCCTACCGTGCGTAAAGAAGTTTCTCTTCAATAATTCCAAAAAGATGCTTAACAAACTGGACATTAAAATCGATGCTGAATTCAAAAATGTAATAATATATAATAAGGCAGATGATGAATACTTCCGGTATATCCGGAAGTCCGCTATCTCTGAAATTATTTTCCGCAGATAGGTCATTTGACCAGGAACATTTTTTATTGGAAACATTTTTTTCCAATTTTAACGGCAGTATATGATTATGAGTTTGTTTATTGAACTAACTCATAAAGAGAACAAGAAACAACCCGCGAGCAAATTAAGAACCAATCCCAAACACAACAGAGCGTTGTAGTATCATCTTCTGTGACCGATAAAGTGCTTATTTCAATTCAGGATACAATAACTTATTCAGTGGACCTAATACATACTTTACGTTGAATGTCTAGGTATAATCTTATTTGGATATCCTTTTAATCGTGACACCAATTCAATGCAGATCGGTAAAATAAAAATAAATTTTATTAAAATGGCTGTATTTATCTAAATTATTATTAAAAAAAAATAATACTAACTTACCTCATGTAGCATGTGTTGAAACTCCTTTAAACATGAAGGTCAAGGATACTAACTGCTATTTCACTGCAACGTATAGTAAAACAATTACGATTAATAAAACAAATTTTGAAACANGTTTCGAAAGCCTATTCTATACGCTAATTGTAAGCTGAAATAAAATTGGGGAAAATGGAGTTACATTATTACATCGAGATATAAATAATATGAAAAAATTACGTACAGCAAGCTTTGATCCATTACTTTTTTGTGTAAAATTCGAGTAGGACTTGTTGACTTGTTCTCGCCCTGCGTGTGACTTTACTATTGGGTTTACCATTAAGGCAATTAAATAACGCTAATTGTATAGTTTAATTTTTCACTGCAGATTTAAGATATTATCAAGAATTAAAACAAAATATAATAAAAAACGTAAGAAATTTCATACATGCATTAGATAGTGCAAATAACTGCACTCGTATTTGCGAGATTTATAAACATTAAGAAACGGAAATGCCTTACAAAAATAAATCAATTAAATAAAGTTGAAGTTATATCCCTATACAAAAAAAAGTGCACCGTCCCCCCAAATGGCGAATTAAGCTCGTCAGAGGCCCAAAGCGGCAAAAAGAAAATGATGTATTTTTAGTGTACACTTTGTAAAAAATTAAAAATTATGATAGTAAACTTTATTTATAGTACATCTCCTATTAGAACAATTGTGTTCAGCTGACAACTGATTCAATCATGAGAACCACCCATCCGTATCAATAGTTTTCATTTTGCATACATACGAAGCCTCCAATTCCAATGTCTAAACTGCCTCTAGTACTTTTCTACAAAGGACCCAAGGACCAGAGGCCTGAGAAGCGCTCTACCCTCGGCCCCCCTCTTTTTAATCCCCACTTCTGTCCCAAAAATACTAGATATATGCATCTAAACTTAGATAAATCCGACCTTTTCTGATAGTTTATTTGTAAAACAGAATTATCCCCTTATTTAAATTCGAATTTTCAAAAAAACATACAATTTGTTGTCAATACAGTTAGTTTTATAACCAAATAAAAGGGAAAGTGATCAATCTCAAAACACAAAATGTGAAAATAATATATATACATATTTTAAACTTAATGTTAGTACATGGTACCCATTAAATTCATAATTAATTTTAAGTTTGTTCATTTTCTGTTGTTTTCGCTTTGGAAGACTTTATTCGTCTGTACGTCATTTCTCCAGTCCACATAAGTATTGTAATGAATGTAAATAAATTCATTAACATCACACAATTTCGGTAAGTTCCTGATACATCTCTAATGAAACCTGTAACAATCATTTTATGTAGACAGAAAAAGGCTGTTAGTTCAAAGCAGCGCAAAAACATTATATTCTAAACTGTTTTTCTTTAATTTAGTGCTATATGTACGTATTAAAAGTTGATACGAAGAATTTACATATGTGCGCTTACCAATTAAAGGTCCTCCGAATATAAAAACGAATCCGTTTGTTACCATTTGTATTCCGGAAGCGGAAGCCAATCTTTCTAGAGGAACATGACTAGGAATAACAAGAGTCATATATACTGTCCTAACACCCTTTGCTATTCCCAAGAACGCTGCTACCACTAACAGCCCTTTGTAGTCCAGCACGATAATAAAAGCTGAAAACTTTTAGTCAGATACTTTATTAAGCTTGTGAAAGATGGAAAATTTTGTTAACTACCTACTGAGAAACCGAGATGTCATAGTATTCATAAAGATAAATAAAACGTAATTCCTTTTTACATATTTTTTTTATCAATCTCTTCTTGAGGACTATTGATTTAAATATGGTTCGTGAAGGAATAATTTTTTTACTACATGACACTCGTATATGTCGAAATCAATCTATAAAATTCAGTATTGCCAAACGCGGTTAAACAACAAAAAAATCAGCGCTTTCTTCGTTAAAGACTACTTAACGTTCAGCCGGATTGTCAAATATAGCAAAAACTAGTTGATGAAGTATCTAAAAATAGACGCTGTAACGCCATCTAGTAGGTATTTTTTTTTACTGAAGTATTTCAAATTTCTCAAGTGTGTGTTGACTACACTTAAGTGCTATCCAGTTGAATATTAAAACTAATTAGAATTTGAAATACTTCATCAAAAGCAAATACCCACTAAATGGCGAAACACTGCCTGTATTTGGATACTACATCAACTCACATTTTAGAAGCTTCTTCTGTTTAAGTAGCGATTTACATTCTTCCGGAAGAGCAACCTTCAGGGTTTATCTCCCCGCTCGAGCAGGGGTTTTAGTCGGTGATAATCCGACACTACCTCCCTTCAGGGGGTGTCTTTTGAAGATTTCCCCTCCTCGAGAATAATCTAAACAAAAAGAAAAAAAAACAGCGATGTACCGAGGGTGTTTATGAGATCAAATAAGATTGGTACTTTCGATAAATTTATGAACAAGAACTTACACGCCGATTGACTGCGACATATAGATGCATACCTGGTTTTCTGGTATAATGCAGAGTTTAAAAATTAATTTTAAGAGAAATAACATTCTTTCTTACCAAATCTAACTGCAATTAGCATAATCAAACTAATCAGGTACATAATTCTCGGTGTTTTCTTCAAAAAGTCTCCGATGAATGGTGAGATAAATCTAAAAATCAAATCCGTTACGGCTATTATCGACATAAACGTTGCTATCTGAGAAGTCTGCAGATCAAATTCTGCCAACATAAAGGGCGTCAACATAGCAAAATTCATTTCTGCAAAAACTGCTAGCGAAATGCCGAACATTATGTTCAAATAAACTTTATCAGTTAAAAGTCTTAGATCGAATGTGTGTATTATGTTTTCCATCAATTTTTTAAAACAGGATTCCTTTTTCCTCTGCACACTCTCATCAGGATTGCAAAAAGTGTCCTTACTTTTTGCGGATTCTTTGTCTTCGTCAATTTTCTTTAAGGACGAATACTTTTTCTCTCTGTCGTCGTTTTGTTTCTGTGCACTTACGACTGACAGTCTCTTTTCTTTTTCTTCAAAAATTTTAACCGAACTCGCTAAATTGATTGACGGTATTGATTGAGAGGACCACCACTTTGTCTTGGTAGGTTCTAGAGGATAACCTGCAAAGATTTGGATTGAAAACTGGTAGGAAAAATTGAAAAAACGCTGTATAAAAACCTTCACTTAGGGATGGTAAACTTTGTCCTACATAAAGTGGAGAGGGATGCTCTAGTGATATTTTATCAACAGAAGTAGTAGAGATACTGTAAAATATTTCGCTTGGTGGTGATTGTTGAGGTTCTAATGAAGAAATTTAAGTTGAAATTAACTGATTGATAAAATTGTTAATAATTACCACTTTCCAGAAACGGTACTTCCGCCTCATTGTTTTTAATATTGTTATTGTGTTGAGTCTTCTCTTCCGTTTCTTCGTACTTCCAATGCCATTTAACTGGTTGTAATAGAAAAGAAGCTGGGAACGTATGGGCGGCAATTCCTGCTAAAACCAAGACCGCTCCTCTAGATCCATAAGTGTTCATTAACATGCTAATAAGCTGCGGCATGCCTATAGGACCCAGTCCCGTGATTGTGAATGCTATTCCTGTGGCTTTACCGCGATTTTTTAAAAAGTACGTATTTAAAGCTAGACTGTAGGATGACATACCTAAACCCATTCCTAAAGCTAATAAAACCATTAAGGCAATTAAATTATGCGAATTGTAGATATACTTTAAATTTTCACTGCAGATTTAAGATATAATCAAGAATTAAAACAAATTATAATAAAAAATGTAAAAAATTTCATACATGCATTAGGTACTGCAAATAACTGCACTCGTATTTGCGAGATTTATAAACATTAAGAAACGGAAATGCCTTACAAAAATAAATCAATTAAATAAAGTTGAAGTTATATCCCTATACAAAAAAAAGTGCACCGTCCCCCCAAATGGCGAATTAAGCTCGTCAGAGGCCCAAAGCGGCAAAAAGAAAATGATGTATTTTTAGTGTACACTTTGTAAAAAATTAAAAATTATGATAGTAAACTTTATTTATAGTACATCTCCTATTAGAACAATTGTGTTCAGCTGACAACTGATTCAATCATGAGACGTAAAGTTGTAAGTAAATTGGCTGCTGAACCACCCATCCGTATCAATAGTTTTCATTTTGCATACATACGAAGCCTCCAATTCCAATGTCTAAACTGCCTCTAGTACTTTTCTACAAAGGACCCAAGGACCAGAGGCCTGAGAAGCGCTCTACCCTCGGCCCCCCTCTTTTTAATCCCCACTTCTGCCCCAAGAATACTACATGTATGCATCTAAACTAAATTCGGCATTTTCTTATAGTTTATTTGTAAACCAGAATTATCCCCTTATTTAAATTCGAATTTTCAAAAAAACATACAATTTGTTGTCAATACAGTTAGTTTTATAACCAAATAAAAGGGAAAGTGATCAATCTCAAAACACAAAATGTGACAAACTCCGTTAATTGCTTTAGGTACATGGTAATTAAGTATAAAGTGCTTATTCCAATATAATTACCATATATTTTCTGATCAAACTAATCTCTCTCTTCGAGGAATTTGTGAACATAAACACACCGTCCATTTTATTTCATAATATTTCTACAAAAGAATTTTTTTTTCAGGCAGATTCTCCAATCAGACTGAAATTGGAACGACTAAATTTGGACAATGAAAATTGGGCACATACAAATCAGTGTGGTAATATCTATTGTTATGACGCGATTCGATACGAGTTGAACACTAGATACCGTAGATATACTTTATTTACTTTCTGTAACGATGTGACCTTCAGTATGGCCGACGCAAAGTAGAAAAGAACTGCACTAGGCCAGAAAAGGAAGGAGACAACTCTCGGCAAAACTCTTAACCGGTGAGGAGCGTATAATCCGTAGAGTACTGCACGGAAAAATTGACCATTTTATCCACTACAATTTCATTGCTCAAATGTGCTGTTATTGGCACCATTCACTACTGCAAAATTCAACGAGATGTTTATTTATATTTGAAGACATATTAAAGGCATTAACGCTTGTTTTCGACTCACACTACTATTCATGATTGAACAAAACTTTTGGCAAGTACTGTATGAAAAAGTATGTTTAATGAACAAGAGTCGAGAGTATAATGAGCTTTTTTCTCCCTACCTACGATTTTGCCAGCGCTCATCCAAGACATTGGAAGGGGCACATCGCTAGAGAAAGTAAATGAAGTATACGATCGACGTACGTCGGTTGCAGCAATTGTCTGACCATAGTCTGATCGTTTTCGTGGACAACCGACCTTAGAAGCGTCAAGAGCCAATAGGTTGCCACTTATATTACATTATTGTGAATGGTGCTGTTTAGTAAAATTGGAAATATGAAATATCCCTGCTGTACGATTTAGCAATGTTCCTTTATTTGCTCACCTCATTTCGGCTCTTGATATCACAACATATCTTATAGTTACTTACTCACATGTTAACAGTCCGAAGCTTATCATAAAGTGAGTAAAAGTTTTGGCAAAAGCGGTCAATGTGACTCCCAGTGTCATACAAACTGCTGACATAATTGCAATTTTTCTATAACCATATTTTCTAAGCAAAGCTCCATTTATTAGCCCCATCATCATACCAAATGCCTGGTTTGTGTTAATTATTATAGCACTATCCGTTGCTGACAGGCCCAATTGGGAGAACGTGTCTTTAAATAACAGACCAAACGAGGTCATGATTGGAATAGATATCACCTTCAAATGTAAAGATAATAATTGAATTGACTGTACATGCATATAAAATATTTCAAAAAATTGAGAGACGTTTTGACCACCAATATTTTTAAGTTTCTCGATTTTAAATTTCATATGAAACATCCAATAAAATTCTTTTGAATAGAAAGATCGCTTTAAATTATTTGAAATAATAAATTGTAATTCCTGGAAACTATGTAAGTCTGAGGTATTTTTTTTTTCAGTTTTAGTACACATTATTAAAATATTCTATTTTGTTATATGTTTTGTCTAACCAGTTAAGTCATGTCATTGGTTAAGTATAGCACATTATAATGTAGATGAGGTCCCGCAATTATTTTTTAACTTTAATTGATAAATATTATACAATTCCTTTCACGTGGTCTTGTCTAATCATATCTTTTAAATTACTATAAACAGCTATAAACGCCATCTGTAGAAAATTGCTACATTTTGTTTCACGTTTCAAAAATGGTGGTCAGTATTTTGTCGATTGATTGATTTAGTCGATATCACTGAAGCTCGTTAGACAACAGAATACAGACCAACTTATCTTATAGAATCGATCTTCTTGACAGTTAATGTTTTCGAATGGTTTTGCACAGTTAATCTTATCTCTACTTTACAAATGTAGCAAGCGATTTTGTAGATAGTTGTAGGTTTGAGGTGATTGTAATATAGGACTCTATTTTTTTATTTGCTGAAATAACTTGAAATGACAGTTTAGAACGAAATTGTTCAACCGAGAGATGAGAAGAAAAAACTAGATATTTTTAGCTCGTCTTATTCTTATTGTAGAATAAATACTTAAAAATAAAGCAAACATACAATGTTATCATTTTAATATACACAAAAATAGAATCTAATTGTAACTCCAGCCAACGCAGGCTTACTATTGTGTAGGTTAATCTTAAAGTTTGGTTTTAAAACAAAAGAAATTACATACGCTGTTAAAAAAATATATAAGGTACTCACTGTATTCACGGCAAATGCTAATACAATAATCCATCCCCAACCACCATCAGGTGGGGAAGGTCCTTTTTCAGCCATCCTGGATTCGTTTTTTTAGTTACATGCACAAAATTTAGAATAAGTAGAAAACTTGCTATAAAGTCTGTGTACGTAACGGTAATGATAATTAGATTTAGATTTTGATTCTGATTATTTTTTATCTTCTCAGATAGCAGATAATATTACTACTGCTACTGCTTTTATTTACATATGTGTGAATTTATTTAGGCATTTTAAATTCACATGTTAGCTACAAATGTAGGTACGTGCGCACCAACGAATTTCGTTTCGTTAAAACGTGCTGGAGAGGACACTATTTGTAGAAATTCAGTTAAATATGTTCATGTGTGTGCTAAATCACGTCCCACAAAATAAGGTTCAAACAAGGTATCAAAACCTTATTAATTTCAACATTATTCGTACAACGTGCATATTAGTTTAGATTGACTGCTAGTTTCGAAAGCCTATTCTATACGCTAATTGTAAGCTGAAATAAAATTGGGGAAAATGGAGTTACATTATTACATCGAGATATAAATAATATGAAAAAATTACGTACAGCAAGCTTTGATCCATTACTTTTTTGTGTAAAATTCGAGTAGGACTTGTTGACCTGTTCTAGCCCTGCGTGTGACTTTACTATTGGGTTTAGGTTGAATATTAAAAAATAAATATTAAGAAGCCCAAAAACTAAAGTGTGCTTGAAAAGTACTTAGATGAATCATTCCCACCAGTTCCTGATTCTACTGGGCAGGCAGTCTCTTCGGACTACTCCGGAGAGTAAAGCGGAAGGTACTCTTCAGCCTCCTTTCAGGAATCATAAGAATGGGTTACGGTTGGGGTGAGGAAGATAAGACGAACGAAATGAAGGGAAGTGAAAGATCATTTGTGAAATAAAATTATCATTACTACTACCCCATCATTTGCCCAAATGATCCAAGGAAATTCGGAATCGAACCATTGTCTTCTCGAATGTTAAGCAATAGTCTAAACCTTTAGGCAATGCTGCTGGGTACTGCGCTTGTATTTACTGCGCGAACTTATTCGTAGTCGATCAAAGGATGTGCCAAGATTGGGCCCATAATATAATTCCTGTGTTGGGGTTGATGAGCACGACAATTTTGCGTATACTTGTGAATCTGATTAAAATGTATGCTCTCTTTACCCCGTGCCATTTCCCGTGGTCGAGACAAAATGGAAAATTTGAGTTCCTTATTGTTGTTCCTCATTATGAGAAAATTAATTGATTTATCGTATAGAATGTTTTGAATATCTTAAGTTGATGTATAATGTTGCTATCTGAGTAAAAGTTATTCTATTCAAAACACTTTAATTTTTCTTATTTCTTTCTTAAGTGTCCCATTTTGATCTGGTCTCCCCTAAATTAATACGTATATGTTAAATCAGTGACAGCTAATCTAATAATTCAATGCTTTCCTTTCATATTAACAATAGAAGACGCTCAATATTTCTTAATTTTTTATATTTTATGAAGACAT